GTGCTGCTCCCGGTGTCCCGCCGTGTCCCGGCGCTCCGCAGCGTTTCCGTGGCGTTTCAGGACCCCCGGGATGATCGGTGCCGGCTCTGCTTCATCCACACTCTGAGACGCGTGGCAGCGACGGCAGAATTAATTAATAATTAATTAATAATTAATTAACCTGTATTGTACACCTCTGCACGGAATACACTTGTATATGTGTGTGTTACACCTGTGTTACACCCATGTGTGTGTGTTACACCCATATGCGCTCCAGCGGGAGCCTCGGGGACACCGGCGGGTTTCCCGGGGAGGATGTGGGTGCCCCAACCCAAAGCCAGGTTGGACAAATCCCTGAGCAGCCTGGGATAACGGGACGTGTCCCTGCACATGGCAGAGAGCTCGGGAATACACGATCTTTAAGGTGCCTTCCCACCCCGGCATTCCATAATTCTGTGTGTGAAAATAGGATTTATTTCAGGTATTCCCACCGCAGGGAGGCTCCAGGGCGCGCTGAGCTGCCGTGCCCGGGATCAGGGTGTGCCCTGCCCTGCCCTGCAGGACCACGGGTGATGCTTTTCCTTATATCCATCTTTTATCCATCTTTTTTCCATGTTGTATCCGTGTTTTATCCACGCCCGGCTCTCCCAGGGCTCAGCAGCGATGCTGCAGCTCGATGTGGCACCAGGGCTCCACCAGGAGCCTATATAGACCCTTTTATTAAAGCAACATGTTCCTTTATAATTTTACAGGATATTTACATTTGCTTAACAAACACATACACTGCCCATCGGGCATGAAAAAGAAACAAAACTCTCAATAGGTAAAAGGAGCCACTGTGACCCAATTTTAGTTCATATATTTTTATTTTCTCTCTTTCTTCACATTGCCATAGTGACAGCCTTGTTACCTTCCTCGAGAGAGGAACTTTCCTTATCTTCAGAAAGCCTTCTCTGGCTCACAAGAACAGCACAAAAATGTCTTTCCTGCAGCTCTCCTGCTCCCTCCAGCCGCTGTTTGACCCTTCCAGCCCTGCAGGTTTTGGTGTCGCTGTCGCAGCTGTCGCTTGGGTTGGGGACAGGGACACAGCTTGGTGGCAGCACAGCACTGGGATCCTGCAGCTGAGAATGACTGGAAAACTGCTGATGGTTGGTTCCTTTCGTTTCTGTTTTCTGCTGTTCTTAAAAAGCTTAAAGAGCTGTGCTGCTGATCCCTGGGGAAAAAAAACACAAAAAAAAGCCCCACCAAACAAACAAAAAAAAAAACCCAGAAAAACCAACCAAAATCCCCCCAAAAACCTCAAAAAACAAAACAAAAAACCCCCCAAGCAAAACAAAACAAAAACAAACAAACAAAAAAACCAGGGGGAAATAATCTCCAACAAAGAGCTCCCCCTGCAAGAGGAGATCCTGTCACACATGCAGCCTGGACCTTCCCTTGGGACAGCAACAAGTGGGACACCCAGAGGGGTTTGCTGGGCACAGAGAAGCAATCAAGCCCCAGAGTTAAATTCTGCACCTTTTGTTCTGTTTAGTGAAATCAGGTTTTGGCTGTGGGGCAGAAGCAGAGGGAGGATGTTTGTCATTGCAGAGCAGAGAATATTCAGGGTTCTGTGTGGAACTCTTGTACTGATGCAGATAAAGCAGAGGGCTCCTGTTCTTACAGGGATTTTATCCTGAATGCTCCCCTTTCCCCACTGAACACAGGGAAATCTTTAATTCTTTAATCTGAGAGACTGACCCTGGTGATTTATCAGCTGCAGGTAATCACAATTACAGTAATTGTAATTTTGAGGGTTTGGAGAAAGAAGATGCCTGGCCAGGCCTTGTGTTCTCCTAGTGAAATGATCTCAGTTCCCCCTTTGTGGATTCCAAAGTCAAGGATGGACACTTGGTAATGTTCCTCTCTCTGTCTCCTATTCTTGTGGTTGTTTTATTTATTTCTGTCCTCTTTGGTTGACCATAAACCTCACAGACCTAATGTGAGTTTGTAGACAGCAGCAGAATAAACAAAGATTTCTCATTCAGACCTTCAGAAGACAAAAGGGCTCCTGTCTCCTTTGGCCTAACCAATATTGCCTGGTGCAAAAAGAACAAACAATCCTTCTCTCCTTTATTTTTCCAGTTTCTTCTCTGAATTAATCTTCCTTCATTACTTGGATGTCTTTTGTTGTCCCTCATGGCTCTCAAGGAGGTCAGCTCTTGCAGTGGGTAATGCTATTTTCCTTTTTAGATGTTTTTTCTCCTAAATGCATTACAGGGCTTCGTGATTGTAATTTCCGGCGAGTTCCATCGACCATTTAATTCTTTGCCATCACTGCAGCAGATGCCAAACACATTTGCAGTAATTGGATGGCACTTAAGGGATTAGCCAAGAGTGCCAAGACCCACCTCATCCAAACCACAGCTGCCTTTTTGTGAGTTTCCATGGGAGCCTGGCTGTGTCTGCTGCTAAATTTATTTACAATCCACATTTTGAATAAAGTGCCCTGTGCAGGAGCCTGCCTGACTTTGTGGCGTCTCCCTGAGGGACAGAAAATTGGCAAATTTTCAGAAAATTGGCAAATTCAGGGCGAGGAGCCCCGTGTCCCCAGGCAGGTGAAGGAGCTGGCAGCACCTTGGGGCCAGGTGTGGTGGCAGAGCAGCTGCTGCAGATGTCCCAGAGCAGCCTTGGGGCTGCCAGCATGGTTCATGACCTCTCCTTCTGCCTCATGCAAAGGTGGCAGAGGGTTTGCAGAGCCACAATTTCCTGCTTTCATCTCTGTGGGCCCCCTCACTCATCCAGCTTTGCATTTCTTCACAGTTTTGTGCCTCCCAGAGGAGGACAGGATGTTTTGGTGATGCTGCTTCATTTGGGGGTGACACCAGCTGCTGGTGGCTTTGTCACACAGCAAGAACATCCCCAAACTCTGGGTTTCCTCAGTGTGCTCAGGAGCTGCCAGGTTTGTGGGCAGAGCTGGGCAACGCAGTGACCTGAGTGTTTGCAGGGAAAAGGGAGCTCAGATCAGCAGGAGAAAGCCATCAGTACTTCATATAAAGCACAGGGCACTGGCATTGATGCCTCAGGTTTTATATTTTGTATTTTGTATTTCATATTTTATATTTATTTTCCAGATTCTCTGCTGCTTTAGTGTGTAGTTCTTAGTTTCATATCAGGGCATGGTGAGCTCTCTGCACAGAGCAGGGAGACAAAACAATTCCTGCTCCAGCTGGGGACCAAGGACAAATGATCCAAACCTCAGGCCCAAGAACACAAACACCGTGGGCTGGAGAGAGAAAAGAAGGATGGGACTTCATAACCTAAAGCTGGAACTGGACAATTAACTCCAAGATGCAAATGGAGCAGAACTTAATAAAGATGAGAGACCCTGTGAGCGGTCGTGCATTTTGTGCCCATTTTGGTTCATCTTGGATTCATTTTGTGCCCATTTTGGTTCACCTTGGGTGCAGCCCTGGCTGGCTCTTCTGCTGCCCAAGGTGGATCCATCAAGGAGATCCTTTTAATAAATCTTTATTTTATTCCTTAGCTCTGTCCAACCTCTGTTCTAGGCCAGCCTTCACAAGGCACCAGGGTAAGGGCATCAGAGAGGAGCCGTGCAGAGCTTTGCTGGGCTCCAGGGCCTGCTGGGGCAGCTTTGTTTGCAGGGTAATTGAATTGCAGCTCTAAAGAGACCTTTCCTGTGCTCATTGCAGCAGGCTGAAGAGCTGAGTGAGGCTGCAGTGCCACAGACAGATTGCTTGGGCTCCCCCAGGCCCAGCTTGGCTAAGCTGGGCCCAGCTGGTCTGGGAACACCTGGTTACAGCACCAGAGCCTGGCTCAGAGCACACCTGAGGGGAGCTCAGGGGCCAGGCTGACACTTTTTCCTCTGGGGGGTCAGGTGTGAGCAGCTCCTGCGTTTTCCTGTGGCTGCAAGGCGTTCCCAGCTGGGAAACCAGGGTGGGGACACATCCCAGACTC